AATACTTTCACAAGATGATAATAATTTAAATTTAAGTTCAGATGATAATGATGATGATGATGATGATAATGATGATGGTGATGATGATGATGATGATGATGATCATGATGATGATGATGCTGACGAAAATGAAAATGCAGACCTTCCTCTTTATGAAGGATCACCATTAACCGTTAGAGAAAGTATTTTGTCCATTCTTGCTGTTGTGTTACGTTTTTCGCTCTCAGGAGTTATAACAGCTTCTATAATAGAATTGTTAGCAATGCACTGTCCTGAACCAAACAATTGTAAAAAAACATTGTATAAGTTTAAAAAATGCTTTGATAATTTACGTAGCCCCCTTACACGACATTTTTACTGTTCATTTTGTTTAAAAAGTCATGAAACAGAAATGTTACAGTGTCCACATTGTTTGCAGGAATGTAAAAGTAGCTATTTTTTAACAATTTCAATAATTGATCAACTTAAAACTCTTTACAAGCGACAAGGTTTCTGGCAAAAATTACTGCATCCATATAACAGGGTTAAATTTAATGTAGAAAATATTGAAGATATATATGACGGAGAAATTTATAAAGAATTGTCGGAGCCTGGTAGATTTTTATCTCATCCAAACAATATCTCATTTTCTTGGTATACCGATGGTGTTCAGGTTTTCAAGTCATCAAAATTTTCCTTCTGGCCATTTTATTTAGTAATAAATGAACTTCCCTATGATCTACGATTTAAAAAAGAAAATCTTATATTAGCAGGAATTTGGTTTGGGGAAAATAAACCCTCACCTAACCAATTTCTGCTACCCCTATATGACGATATTTGTCAATTAATAAATGGCGTTGATATGAATATTCCTGGAGATGAAAATGAAATTAATGTAAAGGCTATGATTATATCGGGAACTTGCGATCTACCTGCAAAAGCATTGTTTCTCAATATGAAACAATACAATGGAAAATTTGGTTGTCAGAAATGCAAAATTAAAGGAATAAGGGAAGGGGGTACCCAGGTTTATCCATATCAGCCTAATCTTCAACTTAGGACTGAAGCAGAGACATTACAGCAAGCACAATTAGCTACTGCTACAAAACCTATTTATGGTGTTAAAGGACCAACTATTCTGTCTCTCTTAGTTTATCAATGGATTACAACAACAGCAATAGATCCTATGCATTGTGTATTTATTGGTGTCATGAAGTTACTTTTAACTCTCTGGTTTGATCCTCAATTTGCCGGCGAACGTTTTTCCATTCACGGGCTAGTCGAAACCATCGATGAACGTATTAAAAATATTAAGTTACCTCAATTTGTTCAAAGGCGACTTCGTTCCATAAAAGAGCATTTAAAGTACTGGAAAGCATCAGAGTTTAAAGTCTTTTTCTTTTACGTATCTCTTATAGTACTCGACGGAACTTTAAAACCCGATTATTTCGAGCATTTTAAATTATTAGTTGATGCTATTTATCTTCTTAGTCAACGAAGCATATCAGAAGACATGATAAATTCTTCGGATCGAATGATTCATGAATTCGTGTCTAGATTTGCTTATCTTTATGACTCTCGGCATATGACAAATAATTTACATTCAATACTACATTTTCCTAACGATGTTCGTATAAATGGTCCTCTATTTATATATTCATGTTTCACTTACGAAGATATTAATGGAAAATTAAAAAATTTGGTACATGGGAGCAAAGGAGCACAACTCCAAATATATTTTGGTGCATCTTTATATATAAGCACATACACCTTAAATCAAGATTATCTTATTGAAGGTTCAAGAGTACACACTTTTTGTAAGAAACATATATGTTGCACAAAACAATTAAAACTAATTCGTATTCAAGACCATTTACATGTTGGAGGATTTGCAAAAATGCGAATTCCAAATGAAGTTCATCATTTACTTTTAGATCATGAAATTCGAGGTACAAAATACATAGTGTTCAAAAAATTAATGAAAAATAAAATAATATATACCTCTGAGATATACACACAAGCGAAAGTAACCAATTCTAAATGTGTACAATATACTGCAAACAATGAATGTAGATTTGGAATAATTCGATTATTTATAAAAGTGGTATTTTGTGAATGTAGAAATAATTGTGATTGTCCAGCAACATTCTATGCTGTTATTAGAAAATACCGACATGAAGCTGCTTTCCCCTCAACAATTCTTACCCAAATAAGCTTAAACTTTATTTATAGAATCTATGACATTCCAAACCAAATGGATATAGTAAATATAGAAAATTTGCAGAACGTGTGTTTTTTTATTAATGTTGAAAAAGAAAACACGTTATCAACGTTTGTTGCACAACCTGTAAACTTTATTGAAAGTGAATAAAAAATTAGCACATTTAATTATATATGTTAGCCACGATTTTGGCTGAGTAAAATTAAAAGCTTTTGGCTTCAATTAATTGACAATTTAATTAAATATGTTAGCCACTATTTTGGCTAAAATTAATGTCCAATTTCATAAAATATATTAGCCACTATTTTGGCTGAAGTTAATTGCTAATTTAATTAAATATTTTAGCCACTATTTTGGCTGAGTAAGCCAATTTCATTAAATATATTAGCCACTATTTTGGCTAAAATTAATTGCCAATTTTATTAAATATATTAGCCACTATTTTGGCTAAGTAAAATTCAAAGTTTTGGTCTGAAATTAATTGCCAATTTCATTAAATATATTAGCCACTATTTTGGCTGATATTAATTGCCGATTTCATTGAATATTTTAGCCACTATTTTGGCTGAGAAAAATGAAAAAGCATCTATCTTCAATCTCATATCATCATGTACATCAATCTGTTGACAATTAAAAAATCCCAAGATTATGCAATATCAGCATGTAAGTAGAAATTTAATATTTTTTAATAACAAATTTAAAAATTTTTTCCCTTATATTAAACTTTCAGATAAAAATATTTCACGCTTTGAAAATTCAATGTCAACTTCCACAAAATCTGCATTATATAGACTAAATAAATATAACAAAAATAATAATTGTTATAATATTCTACAATTACATCGAAGTAAATATATCTAGTGGAATAAACAAGATAGTGTGTGATACTTATTTTAAGATGAATTGGTATTCATTTGTCCGATAAAAATCAATTTTTACATTTTACTGTTGACGCAAAAAATGTCTATACTCTCTATGCTTGTAAATAAATTCATTTGTAAAACAAACAAAATTTCTAAAAATAAATGTTATTATTGATTAAAATTAGTTAATTAAATAAAATACAAAATTACTTCAAAAATATTTAATTATTCCGTATATTGTCTTAATGTAAAAAAAAATAAGAAAACACCCTTACAAAGATAAGTAATTTTTTAAGTCTTTGTCCTCTTTAACCTAAAATCCAAAGGCGCTAATTTTTAAAAAAACGTATAAAAATCTTTTACTCAAATTCAACAAAGGTAAAAGAATTTTTTGCTCTTACTTTAATTTGCCGTAAGTTTCGATCCGTGGATCGATGGGTGTTCAAAAGAGTTAATTCAATAAAAAAGACAAAATATGTTTTGCCATGGTTAACCCAGGGTAAAAACATTTTTGTCTCAATCAATGGTTCGCCAAGGGTAAAAGTCAGAAAAATTCAATAAAAAGACAAAAAATGTTTTGCCATGGTTATCGCAGGGTAAAAACATTTTTGTCTAATCCATTGTTCGCCAAGGGTAAAAGTAAAAAAAATTCAATAAAAAAGACAAAAAAGGTTTTGCCATGGTTCATCCAGGGTAAAAACTTTTTTGTCTCAATCCATGGTTCGCCAAGGGTAAAAGTAAAAAAAATTCAATAAAAAAGACAAAAAGTGTTTTGCCATGGTTAACCCAGGGTTCCATGGTTTGCCAAGGGTAAAAGTAAGAAAAATTCAATAAAAAAGACAAAAAATGTTTTGCCATGGTTAACCCAGGGTAAAAAGATTTTTGTCTTAATCCATGGTTCGCCAAGGGTAAAAGTCAGAAAAATTCAATAAAAAAGACAAAAAATGTTTTGCCATGGTTATCCCAGGGTAAAAACATTGTTGTCTTAATCGATGGTTCGCCAAGGGTTTAAGTGACAAAAATTCAATTAAAATAACAAAAAATGTTTTGCCATGATTCATCCAGGGTAAAACCTCTTTGTCTCAATCCGTGGATCGTCATGGGTTAAAGTAAGAAAAATTCAATAAAAATAACAAAAAAGGTTTTGCCATGGTTCATCCAGGGTAAAAACTTTTTTGTCTTAATCCATGGTTCGCCAAGGGTAAAAGTAAAAAAAATTCAATAAAAAAGACAAAAAGTGTTTTGCCATGGTTAACCCAGGGTAAAAACATTTTTGTCTTAATCCATGGTTTGCCAAGGGTTAAAGTCAGAAAAATTCAATAAAAAAGACAAAAAATTTTTTTGCCATGGTTAACCCAGGGTAAAAACATTTTTGTCTCAATCCATGGTTCGCCAAGGGTTAAAGTGCATTAATTTCATTACAATCAAAGAAATGTATTTCTGCTCCTCAGCCAGGCATTTCCCAGACCATGGGAAACGATCATAAGCAAGGGTTCTCCCAGGGAATGTATTTGCCCTAGCCTATGGTTTCGCCAAGGTTTTTTACATCTTACTTCGAACCTTCTCCCAGGGTCTTCCCTGGGTTGACCATTTCTACGCGGGTATCTAAAAAGAAGTTATTAATTTAATAATTATTTAATTTGCTGTTTTATTTAACATAGTCATCATAATTTTTAATAATTTATAGATTGAAAAAAATATTTCGTTCATATGAACGTTCAAAACTTTCGGCTAATGTTAAAGGGTTAAAAAAAAGAAAAAAATAATAGCCAAATAGTCACTAAAATAACATCACTTTAAAGCAGTTTTGAAATATAATTTTTTACAATTCTGTTAAATATAGTATTCAACTTTTTTCTATTTATTTATACCTACATATACTTATATATTTCAATATTATTCAATAATAGTGACATAATAATTATTATAATTCTTACCTTCCGCGAAAAAGTAGAATTTTCTTACTAACAAAAAATGTAGTTTGAAAGCCTTAGGTTTTTAAAAACTATATTTACGCATTTACTTTGTAATCTTAAAAAAAATAAAAAAATAAAATTTTATACCTTACTGTTTATTATAAAAACATGTATGGCGCGCATAAAAATGAATATTAAAAATTTTTTTTTTTGTAAATTCAAATAAAAATAAGATTTTATTATTTTTTATCATTAATATTATTTCTACATTTTATTGTTTAGATTATTTCCAAATATAAAACTCAACAAAAATAATAAAAAATTGAACTATAATAGAATAATTATAAAAAATATTCTTCAGAATTGATCTAGATTATTACACTAGTCAGTTATAGAACCACAATAATATTGAATTTTAGGAAGTTCAACCCATTAACATAATCTCAAACTAAAAAGTAGTTTTTAACAGAACTAAAAATATATTTAAAATTTATTACACCCAAATTCGACAGATCCAATTGTAAAATTTTGGAAAAAAATTATTTTGAGTTAAAATTTGTTGTTAAATAATAATTAACAAACATTTTGTATTTTTTCTTAAAAGTTAGTAAACAATTTTAATTTTTATCCAATTTTTATAAACAATGGCTCATTTTTCTCTTTGAAAAAATTCTCTACAATTCTGATTTTGTGTTTTTGTTTAATAATCGTTTGTTTAAAAAATATAAAAAATAAAAATTTTTTTTGTTTATTAACTTTTGAACAAAATAATTTTTAATAAAATTTAACAAACAGAATTGTAGAAAATTTTTCAAAGAGCAAAATTAGCTATTGTTTGTAAGAATTGGATAAAAATTACAATTGTTTACTAACTTTTAAGAAAAAATACAAAATGTTTGTTAATTATTATTTAACAACAAATTTTAACTCAAAATAATTTTTTTCCAAAATTTTACAATTGGATCTGTCGAATTTGGGTGTAATAAATTTTAAATATATTTTTAGTTCTGTTAAAAACTACTTTTTAGTTTGAGATTATGTTAATGGGTTGAACTTCCTTAAGTTTGCATTTATTTGTGATTTGTGTAATCTAATTTTTGATACTGAAATTAATAAAATTGCATTATTCGTATTATTATTTTTCTTTACTACTACAATTTGAAAAGTCGTGACATTTCTACAATAATTTCATTAGTTTTTGAAAAGCTTTTTTGTAAAAAACAAACAATTTAAAAAAAATTTCATTTTCATTTTTAAGGAAGTCAGGCATATATTTTTAAATTTCTTTATGCTCATTTTGCTAGGGTAACGGGTATAGCGACAGACACCCTGAGCTTACTTTCAACTTTAAATGACATTTTATCGGAATTTACTAAAGATTTAGTTATAAAATAAATTTCAAATATAAAAGATTTATTATTTCTATATTATTATTATTTTTAACAGCAGGTATCATTCACTGTCAGGGTGTCGGTCACATGTATACCGTTTACCCAAAATAATTTTATAATTTTTTGCATCACTTATTGCATTATTAAATACGTCTGCCAATGCTGCTTAGAATTTTCACTCGTCATTTTAAAAAATATGCGTACAACGAAAAATCAAAAGGAGACACTGAACAAAATAAGTGATCAATAATTACGAAATTAATGTAAATACTTTTCGATTACTATTCGTTTGTTCGATTAATAGATATAATATTTTCTAAACTGTTTGTTTAAATCAATGCACGACTTACTATGATAAAATTTTCAATTTGTCTAAATCGTCTTGGGCAAAAACCGAAATGCCTAGGAAATTCCCGAAAATAACTAGGAAAAATCAAAATATATTATATATTAATAATGAATAACAGCAGTTAAATCTTTTAAAACGAAATTTTTCATATTTTTATTAATTTTTTATCATTTATTTATCGATATGGTAAATAACTGATATATCGAAAGTTAAACATAGATCTCGAAAAATATATGTCGTCGATTCTTTGGAGAAAAAATTTAAATATGTATAGTGTATAATGCATTTAAATTATATCCGATTTTGCCCCACCGTTTGATACCCGGTTTTGCCCCGTATTGCATTTTTTAACAAAATGTAAAATTCTCAGCTTATTGTTAATAATTTAACAATTATACTTTTACTGAAAATTATTCGTAAAAAAATACTGAAAAAGATGTTATATGAAACGAATATATCGACACAAAAAGTTTTATAAGTGATTTACTTTCGATAAAAAATGGATTTTCTTTTGACCTAAAATTTAAAAGTCGCATAAAATATAATAAATAAGTTTTTATATAGTGGTTATATAATTAAAATGATGTTGGTTGTAATATAAAAGATATATATATATGTAATAGGTGACACAAATGGAAATATACCTATCATGGAAAACTTGAGGTACCCGGTTTTGCCCCACTCTCCCCTATAGCTATAACATATTTGCTGTGACATGTAATTTTATTAACTATACAATAACTAAAAATTAGCTATATCGATATTATAGCAGCAAATATTTTTTCTCCGTGAAATAAATATATAACTTCAGTAATATTTAAAAAAAAATTATTATTTTAAAGTACTTTAAATGTGTGTCAAAACGATTTGGAATTTTATTACCTTTATATGTGCATCCTGAGCTGTATGTAATTTACATTAAGTACAAAGGGTACCTTAAGCCGATATAAGGTTATAAATCCCAAATATAATTCACTCGATCAGTTGCAATTCGTGCATTGACCTGTTTAAACGTGCGATCAACAGTGTACATAGTGTAAATTTTAGAGTGTTAAACTTTTTTTTTGTCATTTTAGTAGAATTTTTATTTCGGGAGTGTTCTAAATTTATTAATTATGATACCATATCACATTTTTAATCGTCCAAAATATATATATAAGTGACATACGTCGACTGCAGATTACAAAAGGTTAGAAATATATATATATATATTTATTGATTTTTAATACAGATACAATAAATATAAAAACTTAAAAATATTATTATAATTAAATATAAATAATTAATTTTTATTTGTCAGAATTCTTATTTACTCGAATTTTCATTTAACATAATAGGCATTTTAAAGAATTTTTATTGGGTAGAATTTCATTGCATACACAGAAAATTAAAAGGCATTAAAATAAGCTGCAACGCTTCTTATTTTAATACAATTTTGCTTATTTTAATCCATTCTGGTATTAAAATAAGCAAAATTGGATTAAAATAAGAAGCGTTGCAGCTTATTTTAATGCCTTTTAATTTTCTGTGTAGAATTTTCTTTCAGATGAATTTTCATTTGTTCGAATTATTATTTGATATAATTTCCATATAACCGATTTTTCATACTACAGAATTTTTACTTAACCAAAAAATGATTGACCAGAATTTTTAATTGATAGAATTTTCATTTGTCCGAAATTGCAAATGGCCGAAAAATCAATCGACTGAAAGAGTACGGCGCAATTTTTAAAATCAACCAATCAAAAATTATCCATAAAATTGTAATTGATTTACACGGAAAGAAAGTTTGTAGCAATATTTGATATTATGGTGTTACTTTTTAGTATATTTGGTTACAATTGCGGAACATTTTGGCATGATAACGATTTTCGATACTATTTTTAAGAATGATTGAGATTAAAATAAGAATATTTAATATAGTTGGAAAGAAAATTTGATATAATATTTACGAAATCTAAAATCTTTTTATTGAAACACAAAAATGTCAAATTTTAATAAGCTCTTTATCAATTTTTCTAACCAAATATTTCAAATTTCGTAATTAGAATTGTATAAAATGATATAATTATTTTAGATTTTGATATATTTGATATGAAAATTGAAAAAGAAATATCAAAGTTAACGAGATTCGACGAAATTTGCCGAAGTTGAACGTTCGGAATTGCCTGATCCTCACCGAGTGGTAACGAAGACTGACGAAGCTCTTTAGACAAGCCCCTTTTTACTATTATCTTGATACAGGACCTGAATTTCTTTTATATAATTAATTTCGAAGATTTTACAATAAATCAGTAAAAAAAATTGTTCTTCAAAAAATAATAAAATATTTAATTATTTCCCAATAAATAATGATTTTTATTTATATTTTTAAACATGTTTTAATATAATTTCACCTTTCTCATAAGCGGTGAAAAATATGTCTGGTTAGTATATAAGAATGGTCACATCAGTTTTTCACATGAGCGTAAATTTGTATATGAAGCGTTATTCTGCGAATGTTATACGTATTATCGTTAGTATAGGTTAGGAATAAAAATAAGCCAATCGATGTAAAACAATGCGGTGTATGTGTGTGTGTGCATTTAAAAGTTCATATCCTCGTCTATCCTCGAGATGAGAAAGAGATAAAACTTTGGCGTAGAATCTAGTGGTGACTGAACCACTTCGAATTTTTAGTATAGTTTTAACAAATTTCGAAATAATCTTTCCAAATTTTCATATAAATTTAGTAAATAACGAAGTGCGCGTCGATTTAACTTACTTCTGTTTTTTCGTATAAATTTATCAATTTACGAAATAATAATTTCAATTTCTGGAATATATTTACTAAAAAGACTATTGGTAAAAATATACCGATTTTCGTTATCAAACCCAAATGTTCCGCGTTTGAAAAAGAGAATACTAAAATTTCCTATCAGATTTATCAAATATTGCTACTAAATTTCTTTCCGTGTAGTATCGTTTAAATTCAGTTGAGGACCTATTGTACTACTCACAGTAGTTAAAAAGTAGTAAAACCTACTATTTTTTTTTCAGTGTATATACTTGGCACCGATTTCAGAATATTTTATACTTAAATTCAATATGTAATATTTTTAAAATTAGAATATATACCTATTCTTAGTATTTAGAATATATTTTCTTAACATTTAGAATATATACTAAATACCAAGAATATATTTTAATTTTAAGAATATTACATACTGAATTTAAGTATAAAATATTCTAAAATAGTTGCCAAGTATTCTAAATTTCAGAATATTTGTTTTTCGTGAATACTTTTAGAATTTAATTTTTTTTTTTGAATTTTTTAAGTTTAGAATTTTAGAAAGAATTTCTAAAATCATTAGAATTATAAAAAAAAATGAAATATTTTTAAATATTAACTAT